AATTGTGGCTGGTTGGATTGAAGATGGATTCAATTTCATACCTTCTGGAAATCCTATCCAGAGAGGAAATCAGGGTAAATCAGAAACTCTTCTGATTGAACCGTATAAATACCTGTAGTTCACACACAGAAAACACATAAAAATAGATAATAGAAAATAAAAGGTAGAATTTTTAAAAAAAAATTCTAGAGGGTGTCAGAAGCAATTTTAGGATTTTTAGGATTTTTTATAAAATTTTTGGCATTTTTTCTGAAAAATTTCTAGAAAAATTCCATATTTTGATCAATTTTTCGACGAACTTTTCAACCAAACTTGAATTTTTTGAAGATTTTTTCAATTTTTGACGTGTTTTTTCAAATTTTGGTAGAACATTCAACTACAATCTGAGTTTTTTAGAGAGAGGATGAGAGAAAAGAAACGGAGAGAGAGAGGGGAAGAAGAATTCTAAAGGAAAAGCTGAGATTTGGGCTTATGTACCCATTAAAAATGATGTCGTTTTAAAGTTTAAATCAACCCAAGATCCGCGTGTTTCTGCTTGGGCCAACCCGACCCGATTGCGACTCGAGTGCCAGCCATCACCTGGAGCTGAGCCAAGTCGAGTCACACACTCCCAAGCCATGTTTTTGAGCCATTTTCTCTATCTCAAACCGAACCGATTCCAGCTGCAAGTCAAGCCATTTTTTGGTATTTTTTATTTTTATTTTATTTTATTTGTTTATTTATGTGTTTGTTTTAGGAATATTTTTGCATGATTAAATTTAGGAAAAAATAATAAATAATAAATTTTGAGAATAAATATTAATTATCCAATAATGGAAATGGTAAACTTTTATAAAATTTCTAGGTGAGAAATTTTGTCTAAATTTATCCCAAATGGTGGAATAATTTAGATAAAGTTTCAATAACAATAATTAATATTTATTTTCAAATAAAAAAATATAAAATATAAAAACATAAAAATATAAAAATTTTGAAATTAAATACAAATTACCCAAGGATAAGATTTTTAGAAATTTCAAATCGTAAATTCTTAAGAAATATCTAGGTGAAAATTTTTCTCTAAATTTAGTCCAAATGATTAAATAATTTAGATGAAATTTTAATACAAGTAATTGTATTTTTTCCAAATAAAATTTTGGTTGAAAATATATGATAATTACCCAATGATGAGATTCTTAGAAATTTCAAATGGTATATTTATAAGAAATCTCTAGGTGAGAAATTTTCTCTAAATTTGACTCAAATGGTGGGATAATTTAGATGAAATTTCAATAAAAATAATTGTCATATTATTTTCTTTTCAAACAAAAAAAAAGGAAAATGAGAATTTCTAAATAGGCCCAAATGGTGGAGAATTTAGAAATTCAAAAAAAAAATATTTTTAATTTAGCCCAAATGGTAGAATAATTGGATATATTTTCGACAAATATAAGACTAACAAAAAATTTTTCGATGATAGAGCCTCTTCAAGAAATCAAATGGGATTCTTAAATACTCTTGAGATGATAAACTATTTTTAAGAATTCTATCAGATTGATAGAAGAATCTTAAGAATTATTTTTAATATTTAACATAAAAATTTGAAATCATTAGACTCAAGATCATAGGATAAATTTAAAATAATATGGTACCATCCTTCGAATGGGCTTGTGGGGGTGCTATAACATTTTTCACATGTAACTGAACTCCCGAACCATGTTCTGGTTAGTAAACCTGAACCTATTCTTTTAGGGACTCTTAGTCAAACTTAGGAGCTCATTAAAAGGATGGATTCCTTAGATGGCCAATCACACATAGTAAAAAAGATTGGTAGCGACTCCATCTATTTTATTAAGTCTAGCTATAGATTTACGGATCTATATGTTATGACAAAAGGAAAGAAAAATTTTATCCAATAATGAGATTCTAAAATATTTCAAATAGTGATGTTTTACGAAATTTCTAAGTGAAAAGATTTTTTTTAAATACTAATAGTGTATTGGAGTATTTATAAAAAATTTTTAATATAATAAAAATTCCTTTTAAAAAAAACAAAATAATAAAAATTAAAAAGCCAATAAAATTTTTAAAAGTAAAATAAAATGTGTGCATCAACATATTTCCATTTGCATTGCATGCATGATTTTGTTTTTATGAAAAATAAATACGAGCCTCTGAGAATGAGATATTAAGGTATTTTGATAAATAATGCCTAAAAAATCTCTAAATGAGAAAAAATTCTTTTAATATTACTAATGTACTGAAATATTTTAAAAATTATTTCAATACAAGGGTTCCAATTTATTTTTCTCGAATAAAACAGAATAACAAAAAAATAAATAATAAAAAACTAAAAAAAAAACTAAAATTTCGATAAACAAAGAAAGCCAAGGAAATTACTTTTTAAACACCAAAACTAAGACTGTTTTCATCAGGATGAAAGGATAACACATAACTAATTAGTACCATTTTAAATGGGCACTGTAAGGGTATTAATCCTTCTCCATACATAACTGACTCCAGAACCCAAATTATTTCACAGACCTTGAAATTATTCTTTTAATGAATTTTAATTAATTTTAAATTTTATTAGAAAGATATATTTTAGTAGATGGTCAATTGTATCTAATCAACAAAGATTAGTGGCAACTACATTTTTCGTTTTCAAATTCATCAGGCGACTCCAAAAAGTATTACAACAAACAATTGACTGGGTGAAACTACAACTCATGCAAATATAGTTGCTTATTCCTAAATTGTCACAAAAAATGATTTTTCAAAGAAAACAATATAAAAAACTTCAAATTTTAACTTATTTCAGGATGCAAAATTTATTAATTACATAGTTTTCTTATGGAAAATAGCACCAAAGAGCCCAAACTCAATACATATCAAACATGAATTATTTATTTTCCTTATTATGAGAAAGACAAACTCTTTTAAGAATCATTAGGTAGCATTAGTAACTAAGTTAAACTATTTCTTTGTTTATATTTGAATGATATTTATCATGAACTTTATTTCAAACACTCACATTGGTCATCACTAATCACCTCCGAAATTGAGCAAATTAGAATATAAGTGATTACAACTTATTTATACTCTTCACTCAAGTCAAAATTTACGATCAGAATTTGAATTTCATAATGAAAGGTAAATCTCCTCTCATCCATAAACCTTATCATCTTTACTTTGTATGTGCATTGTTTTAGTAAATAAATAGATGGATATGTACTAAAATATAATTTTGTTTATAACGTATTGAGTGACGTCATACTTTTTTATCTACTTATATTTTGTTAATTTTTAAATTTTATACTAAAGCAACTAAGTAAAAGAAATTATATTTAAATCAATTTAGGTAAATTGTTCAAATTAGTATAAATTGATTCGACAGATCAAATTTTAGTTTTTAAATCTATTCAAAGAGATATCAAAATTTTTTTCTACTTATAGATATTGACTCACCAACTCTATTATAGAGATATAATATAAAAAGGGGTTAAACGTTACAAATCATAAGAAGCTCTAGATCAAGATTTTGCTTATCAAAGATAAAATCAAGGTAAATTTCTCATTTTCTTCAATCTTATTTGCATTTATCATTTCAAGTTATAATGTAATTAAGATTGTTTTAAGATTATTCTCCCCCAAAAAGATTGTTTTAAGATTATCATGAATGTTTTTACTTCATTGCAAAATTCTAACATTTGTTAAAATCAAGTTTGAATTTTGATTTGTTAAAGACTTTGATGGAAATTTTCTAATTCACCATTTATATTAAATACTACATCTTCTTATTTTCTATCTAAATTTTTTTTTTCAAGTTAGTTATTGTTTTTTCTATTTGCAAAGAAAAAATATAAGTTGAAATGTAGGTATATTTGTGTATCAGTTAGAAGAAATAGGTTTATGGATTTAGAAGAAATCAAAACTTCTAGAGATAGATAATGAAAAACATGGATTAATAAAAAATTATATGAAAGTTAAGAAAGTAAATGAAAATATTGTTTTTGATTGAAATGAATGATATGAAAAGATTAAAAACTACGACATAACATGATTTTATTTGGCCTTTCATATAGCCAATCCAAAGTTATGAGAAAACATAAGTGATATTTGAGTACAACTATTTGATGATTATCCTTATATTAAACCTGTCAAACTAAATTTTTATAAAAACATATATGAAAATTGCTTTATTCAAGGCTTCAAGAATTTTTTTTATATTTAATTAATAATATATTTAAAATAAAATAAAATCAAAGTTGAAAAGTATATGATCATTAAAAGTCAAACTAAAACAATATATTGGAATAAAGAAAGTAATAAAAACTGTATTTGAAGTTAAACCGTGTTAGGGATGAATGAATTTGGATAAAAATTTTGGATTTAAGTAGTAACTTGTGCTCTCCTTTTATCTATAAAATGAAGGAAAAAAACTAATTATGTTATAAAATCTTATAATTTCTTAAAGGGTTTTATTCCAACCAAAAATTAATGATATATGTAATGCTAATTGCAATATATAACCTTTTTGCGTCACTTCATGCAATTAGGAAACTCCAAGCATTTGTCAATCTATCTCTGGCCAAGTTCTCATCTCTCTTTCTCTATCTTCATCTTTTCCACGTTTTGGCTTTGATTCTTGCATGCTTGTTGACATGTCTTTGATGAGTTAGTTTCGATTTCTTTTACATAATCATAGATTTGATATCCTCTCCAGACATTGCATTTCTTCCTTTATTTAAGGTTTAATTTAAGTGGGACTCTTTTTTTTTAATAAAATGCACCCTTTACCTTGCTTTGCTTTGCTTTGCTTTCTAACATCAAATCTATATTAATATATCGGAACTATAGTACTTGGTTTCTTTCAAATTCTGGTCAGCTTACCACATTTCTAAGTTCTTTTAAGCTGTTTATATATATTGTGTTTTTCAATCATGTCAAGACAAAGAAAAGCAGTAGTGTTAGGGTTTTTTTTTTTTTTTTTTTTAATTTTGTTTTTTAGGGTGTCAAGGATGTGCTCTGAAGAAGAATTGAAAGACATGGATGGATTCAAAAAAGGGTCACGTTTCATTGAGGTCAAGTGTGGTTGCACAAGCAAGAAATATGGTGATACCATTGGGAAGCTCAGGGTTTCTTCCAATGGCCAATTTTTGATATCCTGCAAATGCACATCGACTCATGATGAAAGTAAATCATTATTTCTTTTTTTTTTTTTTCCTAATTTATATATTAATGAATGATACAATTATTTCTTCTAATTTTGTTTGCATATGCAACTTTGTTTTTGATTCTTTGATTCCATGAACTTTAATTTCATCTCATAATTTTATTTTGTCACATGAAATTGGTTATTGGTTGAATAATACATTGGACAAGTCCTTGCATTAAACAATGCATGTATTGAATGGCTCACCTTTGAGTAGATAACTTGAGACAAAAACCAATATCTATTATAGTCATGTAAAGTTCTAACAAACAGGGATATACTGCAAAACTTTCCATCCTTTTCAATGAAATTAAATTTCTCAAAACCATAACTCTTCAATGAATTATTTGTTCAATTGTTTCATATAATTACCCTTAAAAAATTTTTAGTCTGCAACACCTACAACTCTTTTCTTTATTTTTAAATTGCAACCTCTTTATATAAAAGAAAAAAAAATCTAGGAATCTCATAATGTTTTTCTTTCTTTTATCCTAATCACTTTAGCCTGATTAGTTAGAATCTTAGAACCTGAATAGTTAAGAAAAGCTTCATGTTGTAGTTTCAGTAAGTTGTCTTTAGCTGATAATTTCGTCATTATTTATCAAGATTATCAATTTCATAGCTCTAACTATGTCAATAATTCAATTATACAAAGCTAAAATTTCTGGATTAGTTTAGTATACTCTTTGATACCGTTGTCTAAACATATTGACGGTAATTCTTGATAAGCAGAGAGATTGACTCCCTATGATTTCCAAAAGCATTATGGAAAAGAAGGAGCATGGAAATGGAAGAACCACATTTGGGTGCTCATAAATAAGAAGAAGGTTCCTTTAGGGAGAACTGCTCTCCTGAAATATTACAAACATGCATCCAATGGAACAAACGGGCAAAGCACCATGCAAGCTAAACGTCTTTTTCATCGTGATGAGTTCATTACTTGTTCAAATTGTAAGATAGAACGCAGGTTTCGTCTCCGGACTGAAGAGGAATGCAGAATTTACCATGATGCTTTGAATGCAAGAAGGTGGAGGTGTGACGACTCGCCATATCACAAGTAAGTTTCAACAACAGTTATGGTTTAAAATATGAACCTCAAAAAAATCCCATCCCTAACCCCTTTTCAGATGGAAAAATTCCTAATAGCTTTGCATTTGTTGGTTCGTTTTCTTTCAGATTCACCTGCCATGATGGTGAACAGCGAGCAAGTAGTAAGAGCTGCAAAGGCTGTCCTCGATCTCCGACCTGCAAAGGTTGCACTACTTGTGTGTGTTTTGGGTGCCTAAAGTGCCGTTTTCTGGATTGCAGGTGTCGCACTTGCATTGATTTCATGAAAAATGCAGAACCTTGAGCTATAGGAACTAAACATTGATCCTTTCTGTGCTGCAATGCCCCAACTATCATTTCACTAGCAGCAAAGGAAAAAGGATCAATTAGAGTTCCCTGAAGTTCTGTTAGAATGTTTGTTGCTGGAATTTAAGAACTCTGCTGTTCCATTTCTTTTCTTTAGAATAATTCTTTGCGTAAAACTGGACTAAGGTTTTTCTTTGCCAGTGGGCAAACGCTATTGGGTGGCATCCCACCTCAGTCAAACATTTTTAGCTTCTGTTGCTAATAAAGTGGTTTTCTTTCCTGAAGCCTGTTTCTTTTGTTGCTACGAGTTTGATTTTAGGTCTTTTTCCTAGCTTTTCCTTCTTTCTCGACTCTGGCAGCATGACTGACAGTAACTGTCGGTAATTGAATCTGCGAAAATAAAAAACAGTTGCAGTGCAAGTGTATTGTGCTCACTGAATCAAAAACCAAATGCACTCATTGATTAATAGGGATTGTCAGGGCTACTTTCGCCTCTTTTCTATGACACATTATGACTGATCAAAAGACTTTTTCAGCAGTGATTTGAAGTGTTTAGGATATTATTTAACAGTTCTTTTACAACCTCTCTTTTACTGCATGATTTCTTCAATTTATCTTGTAGATTGACATAACCCAACAGGACCCCCACAATTCATGATCACGAACATAAAAATAGATGTCTTAATCGAGCAGATGAAAAGTCCAAAGAAACAGAAACGGTATGGGTGGGTGACAGCCGCTCCTGTAAACACATCACTATCGAGTTTGTCACAAAAATGAGTGCAAGAGATCAAGGTCTTCTGTCATTTGAATCATGCACAAATTTTACTATACACAACATACAAGTTACAACAGAGAACCACAAAGGCCAAAAAAAACCTAAAGTAAAAGTTTTATTATGGAGTTTGTTTATGGAAATACATTGCATGTTCGATCCCAACTGAACTTCTACAGCTACATGATGGAACAATGAACCCTCGATTAGAAACCAATTTGGCTAACAACCGATAAAATATTTTCTTCAGCTAAGAAAGAATTGAGGACTTCTTGTAAATCTGACGTAGTCATTAGTCTTGACGTCAATGAAGAACAACCTACCTGATTAGGTCATGCACCGAACCACGCACCAGAGAATACACACTATCCTTCCAGAACTCTCATGGAGCACTACCATGCATCAACAGATTTCATTCTAACAAAAAGTACGCAAAATTTTAATGCAATGACACCAATAACATGTCTAGACTGTACTTTGCTGTGGAGCAGATATACAATTCTTGCCCTACCACTTCTTGCATTAGACATGCTAGTAACCACGGAGTTGCATAAGTTTCCAAGGGCATTAGCTCCCATAATCTTTAATCCAATATTATTTACCTAATATACCAACTTACCTTCACCTTCTCTGGTCAAAAGCTGTAACTCATGTGCCTGTTCACGAGATAATGTTGTGTACAGCTGCAGTGATTGATTTGGTAGGGGGTTACAGCTTTTCTCCAACACCTTTCTCATATCATCTTTGCAATTATCAAAAGTAATTCTCAAGAGCCCCAATGATCAAGGGTCTTCTGTTAACGGATTGAATACAAATGAAAACTTCCCAAATACTAGATCAGGCCTCTTGAACAGATCCACCAATAGATCGCTGCTTGGTCCAACAATCCGCTTTATAGACCTATGATAATTTTGGCTACCTCTTGCGGCACGGAGAATACATGAAACTTCCTTTAACCCACTCAAATAGGGACCATGCATGGTGGCTGGATATTGCCTAGTTGTGGCTTCTCCAGCAAAGAACAACCTGGTCCCAACGCTTTCAGAAAGTACATCATAATCACCACCAGATGACTGTACACTAACATGAGAGTATGAACCATATGGAAGGGGATCATTTCCCCATCTAGTACAAATTGTTTGTATAGGGTCAGGCACATCTACACCTTTTGGACCATATATACCTGCGAGGAAAATCAATAGATTATAAAGCTGCTTTCCAAATGAAGAGACAGAAAATACTAGGGGCAGCACAAGCACAATAAGAGTAAGAAACTATATAATCTGTTGACATTTGTCACAAGTTCTTAGAAAACTATACAGAACCTTTAAGCTTGCTTAGAACACGATGGAGCAAGAGAGTAGGATCTGTGCGTTCAAACATTTGCGCAGCTTCACCAGCCACCAGTACAATCAACACTGGACCCCCAGAAACAGTATGGTAGCTGTAGAACAAAAAGAACTCCCCACGATTATCGCTGCTATCATTGAGACATCCAAATGTGTCTAGGTCTTCTCCCCAAAAAACATGAGGGAAAATCATAGCAGCTTTATTCAGGAGCCCAAACCCAATCTGTCAGTTGCTGCTAGCTTTCTCTGAGGTAACTCAGGTTCAAATCTAATGGCCCTTCTCTTCAAGACTCCAAGAGGCACAGTGCAGAGAACCATATCTGCTTGGAAAGCTTGATCACCAGCAACAACCTCAACCCCTTCATTCCCATATCTAATAGCATCAACTGTTTTCCTGTAGATTATGGGAATTCCATCACACAATGCTTCTATCAATCTCCAATTTCCTCCAGCAAGAAAAAAATGGTCTCCACCCATCTCATAAGGATCATCCTGATCCCAGTAGGCAGCTGACAAGTCAGAAAGACATCCCACATTTGCATATTCCAAATTAGCAAGATGCCATTCCAGAAGTTGCCTCTCCTCTGTATTTTAGCCAAGGCATACAACTGCCAGAGCTTTTCCAGAACTGATTCCAGAGAAATATGGTTTGCAAGTCCACCCATTGTTTTTCTCATTTCCATGACTTTGCCAAGCAACTTGTTAAAGATCATTTCAATCCTGGAATCGGTTTCCTTATTGACGGGTGCCCCATCAGGTTTATATATAAAAGACAATTATCTCGGACCTTATGAAGTGGAATAGAAAGTTGCCTAGCCAGAACTCCAAGAGGATTGGCATGGATACCAGTGATTACATTGCCACCAAGATCCACAGCAGCAAGTTTATCCTTCTTACCCATCTATTGAGTATAAACTCTTCCCCCAGGTCGATTCCTCCCTTTTATGACAACTACCTTGGAACCAAATGATAAAAGTTGCCTTGCTGCTGCCAAGCCAGCAAGTCCAGCTCCAACTATTATCACAAACCCTCAGTTCTGTCCTCTGAGATGCAAGAGGAAAATGATGTCGAAACTCCAAATTTAATAAACCCATTGTACAGAAGAAAATCATAAGCCGTGGACATCAAATGTTCATATTCATTACTCACAGTTTCTTTTATCTGTCCCTTAGATAACCACATCCGTACATTACTCCTCCACCGACCAAGAATATGATTCCTAACAACAATATAATCATTCTGCTCTTTTCCACCTAATTCTCTTACCACCCCTGCTCTAATTTCATCCTCAATCAGTGCATCAATAGGGAACCCCAAAGACAATGCTATCATAGCCTCAGTTTCAGTTTCTTTCTCCAACTCCTCCTTTATTCTATTTTTTTTTTCCTAAATGAACCACGTAAATGCTTCTCTATAAACTCATCCATCAAATTCTCATCATAATACTTCAAACCGTCTTTCTTCCTCAATGAACTCTTCGACACCAACCCTTCTGTACCCGGGGTCTCCATATCACTTTCTCCAACAAAATCAACTTCTCAAAGTCCTTCAAAAACCATGAAAACTACTTATCCCACCAAAACCACAAAACTAACTTTCAAGTCATACAAAATCTAATAACTAAATGAATTTCTCATCTCAAACAAACTAAAAACCATATGGATTCTTTGGTCTTTTCACAAATCTATAAAAACAAATCCAGAACCTACCTTTACTTTTCCAAATTCTCTATCTTTTTTCACTAAATTGAAATTACTAAATTATTCAAAAGCAAAATTCAGAAAGATTCAACTGAAACAACAATAACCCATTTCTTTTCTCATCATGTACAATAAAAAGAATGCAACAATTATCACAAAAAGATTAAACAAAAACTGCATTGAAATTAGAGCTTCAACACTGAATTTTGTGCATCAAACTTTATGCTAAAAAATGGAATAAAAAAGGGAAAGCCAGAGATATTTGAGGAGGTGAGGGAAGAGTGGGTGACTCACGTTTATTGGGGGCCGAGTAAACTCGTGAAATTGGGGAATCCAGGTGCTTAGTGGAACTTTAATCAGGGTTTTTCTTCAGGTGAAGAGCTCCAAAATTTTAGAAAATTGGATTGGAGGGAATTGGGAACAAAAGTTGTGTTGGCCCTGATAGGCATAAATTATTACATCGGGTCGTAAATGGCCCCATATGAAAATCCGATTGAAAGTTGAAATACAAAGCCCAATTTTTAATATTTTGCACAATAATTAAATTTGAAACCCCTTCTTTTTCTTTTTAATTTTTTTTTAAAATTTAATTATTTAAATGATCATAATATATTTAGAATGTAAATGAAAATTTAAAAAAGAAAAAACTTTTAGACAAACTATGCATACATAATCTTAATTAACTTACTTTTGAAAAAAAATTTATTGTCTTATTGAATCAACTTGAATTTGATAAAGAGAAATAATAAAATTATTTCAAGCCCTTAATGTCTAAGTGCGTGCCAACCAATAGATGCTAGATTTTTGTAATATTATAAAGTGCTGTTTATTTAATTTTATATTACTTTTATAAAATTGTAACATAAAATCATACTATTTAAATAAAACTTAAATAAAATGCTTCGTCTATAAGATTTTGATTTGATTCTCGCTACTCTACAAGGTTTCGGCCCTCAATGCTAGGCTGTTCCCTTCAAACTGCTTCCCTCATCGTCAATGACAACCTGACTCAATTCTCATGTATATAAAGAAATCAAAGACTACATTATTTCAGTAAAAAAAAAATTACAAGTGTAATCCATTTCAGTGAAAAAAAAAAAAAAAGATTGACATGAACAGACTTTATAATATTTGTAAAAGTCATGAAAGTAGGTAAAGAATTGGAGAAATAGAAGAAATATATGAAGAACAATTTGAGCTTGCACCATCAGCTGTCACACTTGAATCTTTTAGGTGGTTGTTCCTCATTTTGATCGGATTCGGATCTAAAACTTTTCATTCTTTGAGCCTCATCCTTTGCAGATAATAGATGAACCCCGCACTTTTTCACCTCGCAAGAAGCGCATTGTAACCAATCCCTCTTATAAACAACAGGGTAGAATTTAAATGAGGCCTCATTGTAAATGCACTTGCCTGAAGCCTGACCTTCAACATGCCATGTAACATCTTCATCATCATCGTAAAAATCAGTCCGATACAAGAGGAACAAGTGATTTGACCCAAGCAATCGGGGTCCATGAAGACCTCTATTCCAAATGTAGAAAGTGCAATTAAGGTCATGGCTGTCACCCTCACAGGATTTTAGATGCCATTCACATCGAATGCCAAATTCCATGTCATCAGAATAGTGTTGAAATGAAACAACAATGGAAACAATGAAACCTGGAAAGTTTGTCCTGCTATTTGACAACTGATCTGAAGGCAACTGGATGGTTATCGAAGATCCTAAGCTTTTATAATCAAACCATTCAGGAATTTCACTTCCAGGGACGCATGTAATAAATTGAGTTCGTTGAGGGGAAGCCTATTCCAATAGAATTATTAGAATCATGATTATCAATTAGCATTATGATATAGAAGAATAAGATGATGATGAAAATGACGACAACGATGAAGAAGAAGAAGAACCTGACCTGATGATATTTTTTCAATGCAGTTAGTATATGCCGAAATACCACGGGCAACTTTGGTGTTTCTAGATTGCTGATAGCTTGATGATCCAGTTGGAAGCAATTGCTAAATAGCCACACCAAGAATTTCATTCCACGTGGTTTATCCTTAGAAATCAATGCTTGCTCAAAAAGCGTTTTAATGCTTGGGACTTCCTCTAGTGAAGTGCAGCTATGCGCATCCAAATCACTTAGGCTTGCTGGAAGCTCTGGTAATAATGTAAGTCTCTTGCATTTCCTCAAGATTAACCTTTGCAACCTAGGAAGTTGTTTGATGCTTGTTGGCAAGTTCTCAAAATTGTTTCCACTCAAATCTAATCTCTCCAATGAGGATAACCAGTGGAGATCCTTTCGCATCTCTAGTCTGCTTGTTACAGAAGTTCCACTTGCATAAAACAAGTTATCTGGCCATTTAGAAAGATTTGTACAACCATAAAGATAAAGATACCGAAGAGCTTTCAGCTTATAAAAGCTATCAGGAAGCCAACCAAGGTTTTCACAGTTGTTCAATCTCAATTCATAAAGTCCAATAAGATTCTCAATTGAGGATGGTAACTCCTTCAAAGCCGTTTCACTTAAATCAAGATTTCTCAACCTTTCCATGGTGTCCAAGATTTCTGGGAAAATCTCCAATCTTGAGCAACCTCCAAGAATGAAAGTCTTGAGATATTTCAATTTATGAATACTTGTGGAGACACTTTTAAGCCTCCTGCAACGCGTCAGGTTCAATATGAACAGTTTAGAGAGACATTCGATTGACGAGGGAACTTCTTCTATTGCAGTTCCTTGTAAATTCAACTCTGTTATATTTCCTGAAATCTGAGGGAATGTGGTGATATTTGGGCAGTCACAAAGGGAGAGGGTTTCAATGGATCTTAGATTACGCATTGCAGCTGGAAGATTCCTCAGCCTTGGACAGTCTTCCACAGACAATAAAATGAGTTGGCAAAGCGACTCAACTGATGAGGTCACTTCTTCAATTGCAGTTCCTTCTAAATGCAGCTCTCTTACATTTGATGAAATCTCTGGGAAGCTATGGAGATTTGAGCAGTCACTGAGAATAAGTTTGGTAAGGGATCTGACTTTATACAAGCTAGGCAGAAACCGAAGATTTTTGCACAATCTCAGATTCAAATGAGTTAGCTTCTCAAGATATTGAACTGATGAGGGAAGCTCAAGCAAGTTTATACAGTTTACAAGGTGAATACTCTCAAGATTTGTGGCTCTTGAAAGGTCTGGGATTTTCATTAGGTTCTCGGAATGATTGAGACTGATCACTTTCAAATTTACAAGATCCTGCATGAATGACAACATAGTTAAATTTGTATACGTTAAAGAACTATAGTACAGCAGATGGTGACCAAAATTCAAACCAATTTTTGCCAAGGGATTTTCATTAGGCAATTACATGAACACCACGGAGAGAATGTGGCATAGATGGATATAAAATTTTACCTGTTTTCCCTCCCAGAGCTGTTCGACAAGGCTAAAACTCATATCAAGTTCAACTAGGTTCCTTGGGTAAAACTTGGTAGGTAAAGTTTTCAAAGGGTATCCCTCCCAACAAAGATACCTTAGCTCATCAGGAAGTGACAGAAGCCCTTGAGGAAGGAAAACTTTGGATTTCTTTTGAAAGCTTCCACAGCTGTAAGAAAGATAGAATTTGAGGAATTTAAGTTTACGCATCTCCACAAAGGCCTCTGGTTTTAGTTCCAAATCTGGAATTCTAGACATGTCAAGTTGTATGCCTTTAAGTGTTTTAGTGCCCTAAAAACCAAGAGCAGTATGTTAGAATGAGTAGTCAAGATATATGCAAAATAAGTGCTACTCAAAAAGTGACAGGGAAGAAAATGAACAAGGCCCTTACAGCATTTTCTATTAGTACATCATAGATGTCCTCAGGAATCCACAGCCTACTGCGTCTTTCGGGCTCCGAAGGTGATTCTTTGCAAACAACGTCCCAACCCATTTCTTGCAACAAATCATGCATTTCTATGGCCTCATTTTGTGAAACAGTTATAAGAGACTTATCAATGAGGTTACTGATTCCTGAATGTGCAGAGATATAACAAGCATCCATAACTCTTGTAACATGGTCTTTATTCTCCCCTTTAAAGAAACAAGCCATGTCAAGAAATGTCTTTCTCTTCAGAATCTAGTGCATCATAACTGCTTCTCAATAATTTCTGAATATCTGGATTAGGAACTTGTTTTAGTTTCTTCACTGCACCTTCAATGTCGCGTTCGTTCTTGCGATAAAGAGAAGAACCGATAACTTTAATAGCTAAGGGGTTTCCATTTGCAAAATCCAACACCATCTTTGATAGCTGCAACTGATATTTTGTGGGATGATTCCTCTTGAAGGCACGCTGACAAAAGAGCTGAACAGATTCCTCTTCATTCAATTCCTCCACCTCATATATGAGGTCAATGTCATTCTGGATAAGTACTTGTTTATCTCTAGTCGTTATGATAATTCGACTTCCAGGGCCAAGCTGATCAATTCCTCCAAACAAAAATTCAAGTTGCCTTGAATTACTCGCATCATCACAAACTACTAGAACCATCTTGCGGCTAACCCTGTTCCTGAGAAATCCTGCTCCAATTGTGGGAGTGGATATATGTAAATTTCCATCCTCCATTATAGTGGAAAGAAATCCATGCCTCAATTGAAATAATGTTCCACGTTCCTCTGATTCTCTGACGTTTGCAAGGAAGTAGGAGTTTTGGAAACCGCTTGAAACTTGGTTAAAAACAGCTTCAGCAAGTGTAGTTTTGCCTATACCACCCATACCCCAAATACCTATCTTTCGGAAATCTGGAAATCCCATGCAAAATAATGATAGAACTTTCTCCATGCGTCTCTCTAGTCCAACTAGACCCTCAAAACAACTTGAGGTTCCATGATTTAGTTTCTTCGAAATATCTTTGACAATTTCATCAATCAGTATTGACTCAGGCCTATCAAATGGAGAAACAAATTATTTGGGGAATCACAAAGGGAGAAATAAAAGAAAAACATAAATAAATCAAATATATTGATAAAATTTACTATATTTTCAAAACTAAAAAAAAAAAAAAAAAAACTGAAATGTAAAGAAAAGAAGTTGCAATTACCGAGTGACTTGTGAATCCCAACCGGATAAATTGGCAGCTTCTGTCAAAGCAGTCCTCCACGTTTTCACCTTTTCAATATTATGCTTGAAATCTTGTTCAAGCTTAGCAAATGCATCTGCAAAACTCCCTGTTTGTTTCCGTACTTCTGAAGGATCTATATAGTAGAAAACAGGGACAACAAAGTAGTTTCTATTCGTTTTCTTGCAGTCCATGATCTTCACCAGCTCATCCAAGCACCACTTGGAAGAAGCGTAGCGTCTTGAGAAAACAATTACTGAAATTTTGGATTCTTCAATGGCTGTCAAGAGTGCTGGAGAAATTTCATCTCCTCTTCGAAGCTCATCGTCTATAAAAGTTCGGATATTCTTTTGGCACAAATCTTTATAGAGATGACTTATGAAACCATTCCGAGTGTCCTCGCCTCTGAAGCTAAGAAAAACATCGTGCTTCATTGCTATGATCAAAGAAGAAGTGGTAGAAAACATATTGATGAGATTATTCTTTTTTTTTTTTTTGGTAAAAAAATTTCGAAGACAGATAGACTGTTTCAATCCCAGGCTAGAATGCTGATACACACTTTTCTCACTTGCTTTGCTATGAGCTCAAACCCGAAATTTCTTATTGTGGAAGCGAACAACTTGAAATTTCTTATTGTTCAAGCATCATAATGGGTGAATGCAGTGCTTTTATCATATGGCCTTTGTCATCTCGTGTAAACATAATTATTATGTGCTCAAAAAGAATGTAAGACACAAAAAAACAAAATCAGATCCTTAATATCATCTTAAACATTTAATTTAAAATTGAAAAATAAAAAGTGATAAAATTTAACTTAAATATAAAATCATAAACAACACAAGACTTATCAAACGAGGATAATACCACTTAACCTTCTTATTAATTATTTAGGAGATTTTTCAAATTTATGTAAATCATTTTTATGTCAATTAGGCTAACATTTAGTTTTTTTCTTACAAAGTAATTAACCACAGCCGCGCAATGTACAGCAAATGCGATAGCATTCATTATAGCTTTCATACTAGTGTTCAGTGTGGGGAACATGAAAATGAAGCCGATTCTAAGGGCCAACAAAAAACAAAACATCACTTTCCAGGCAGTGGAATTAGATGCTCTTTATTGCAACACAAAAAGCAAACGCGTTAAGTCGTTAGTCTTCGCAGCATTCACTGGTCCACGTGCTAGTAATCACATTTATGGAACTGTAATGTACTGGTGTATCGGATCGTGTCGGCTTATTTTGCATTTTTTAAAAAATATTTTTTTTTGTTAGTGTTGGAATTTTTTTGCAAATTTTACCTTCTAGTCATCTCATTTTTTTTAAGTTTATACGAGATTAAATATTTTTTATTTTATTTATCTTTTTTATTTTTAAAATTTATTTAAATCAATTATTAAAAAAATATAATTTTTTTAATGTTATATTATATAAATTGATCTTTCTTTATATATGTATCTAAAATTTTTTAATTTTACGCATATTTTTAATCCTTGTTTTTAATAAATCTAAAAGATAAAATATATATATATATATATGGTGATATTGTGATTCACGATTTTGCTATGATATCATAACATATCATTGTGACATCACGTTGGAACGTTACATAAATAATATCAAAGAAAGAGATAAAACATCAATAAATTTTTTTTATATGAAAAAATTGGTCCTAAAAAATAATGCACTTATCTATCAGTGCCATGAAAATTTCAAGAGTTTTTTTTTTACCAAGCTTTAATTTATGCCACAACATACACTTGAATTGGCCTATAAATAGCCATCGGGAAAGGGGATGCTTAAACCAAACTACCTACGAATATCCAAAATGAAAGCATTATTTCTCATAGTATGCTTTCTCCTTGCTTCCACTCTGTTTTATTCCCACTTCAACTATGGCTCTGGAGCTGATCGGTAAGATCAGCAAATACTTTCATAGTATTTCCATTTTTTTTAGATAAGCTACATAATATACATGCATAGATATATACTTTAATCTCAACATATTCAAATTCATATTTTTTTACAAGTAAAAATTATAATTATAATCAAATAACTTTCAATGTGTGCTTTGTGTTCATTTGCCAATTCCATTGATTTTATTTATCTGAATTATTTTAATTATGACATTTAATTATATTCTTTGTACAATTTTTGTTTCATAAAAAATATTTTAATGATTTTTAATGTTTAAATATTAAAAATAATTCATAAGATTTCTCCATTAATCTGATAAAATTTTAAAAAATATTTATTCACTTTAAGAGTATTCAAAAATCTCATTTATTTTCTTGAAAAAGCTTTGTTATCGAAAAAAACTTAATAATTTTTTGTTATATTTTTGTTTTATTGAAAATATATTTAATCTTTCCCCCATTTGAGCTAAAATTAGAAATATTTTTTTACCTAAAAAGTTTTTAGATAATCATCTATTTGTGATAACTAAGAATTTCATTTTCAAATTTTTTTTTTTACTTTACAATGTTTATTTCTAAATTTTTCACTATTTGAGTATATTTAGAAAAAAATTTACAAGTTTTATTTTTAAATTTTTTATCATTTGGGTTAAATTTAGAATCTAAAGTCTTATTAGTTTCTTAATCTTTGGAAAGAAAATAATATGATAATTATTTTTTAAAGTTTCATTTAAATTTTTTTCATCATTTGGGTTGAATTGAGAGAAAAAGTTTTCACCTCAAAATCTTATGAAAATTCAACCATTTGTGATTTTTTTTAAGATCTCATCATTAGATAATTGTTAAATATTTTTATCCAAAATTTTAAGTTATATTTTAATTTTTAATTTTTAATCTTTTATTTGAAAAAAATACAATTACTTTTATTGAAATTTTATTTAAATTATTCTACCATTTAGGTAAAATTTAGAAAAATTCCTAATCTCAAGATTTATTAGAAAATTTATTATTTAAAATTTTTAAAAATATCATCTTTGGGTAATTGTTAATTCAATCCTAAATTTTCATTAAATTTTTATTTTTATTATTTTTTTAAAATTAAAAATAAATATTTATTATTAGTATTAAAATTTTATCTAAATTTTTCATCATTTGGATTAAATTTAGAAACAAAATTTCTCACGTAAAAATTTTATAAAAATTAACCTTTTGTAATTTTTAAAAATTTTATTATTGGATAATTAGCATTAATTTTTAAAATTTTATTAATGTTTTATATTATAATTTTTTTTATAATTTTTCCTAAAATTTCCTAAAAAATTACTTATGCAAAAATATTCCAAAAAAATAAATAAAGAAAATAATAACATTAAACAAAAACATAAAAACCATAAAAAAATACCAAAACAAAAGAATCGGCTCGGCTATGGCATTGACTCAGCTCCAAACATAGAAGATAGCTCCAAAGGCATGGCTCAGCTAACTGGCAGCTCGGCTCTACGGCAGCATAAAAAAGATGGATCCCGAGTCAAAGCACTTTCGATTGGGTTGGATATTTGGGGCAGCATGCAAATCTGGAAAGCTTTATGATCAAAACAATGTTGTTTCTTTATAATATAAAAGCCAAAAAGAACCTTATTCTTTGGATTTCCTTTTTCCTTTTCTCTCTCTTCAAAACTTTTTTTATCTCTCTCTAAAATTGGTAGGAACACCAATTGAATATCTCGTCACATTTTGAAAACTTAGGCCAAAATCTGGGTTGAATCACCAAAAAGTCATCAATTTCTAAATCGAAAACTAAAGATGATACCAAAAAACCAGAAATCTCACCAAAAAATCATTAAAAATTTTAATATTTGTAGCTTCAAATTAAATTTGATAATTTTTAAAAAAATCCAAAATTTTGTAAAAATTCTTCACAGATCACCAATTTAGCCCCCAATTTTTTGTAATCCTCATAAAAACCAAATCAAGCTTTTTCAAAACAAAAAAAAAAAAAAAAAAATCCGCTAGGAGCTTTTCTTTAGAATATTGGACTTGATTGCTCCCTATACTTGCTACTGACTTTCTCTATTTTTGCCAATGATTTTTTTTTTTTTTGTGTTCTTTTTGTGTGTTGCTTATGTTGTTTTATAGGAAAGAGTCCAAATCCAAGTAGTATTCCATTAGGATTAGATTCTTCAATAAAAAAAATCCAATTTATCATCATATTAAAATTTTTATTATATATCTTTAAAAAAATTTTATGAACATTCATCACTTAAAAGCTTTAGTTCAATCCAATCTCAATTAACCAATCAAATCTCAGCCCTTTGATTTTATCCCTTTTTTTGTTTTTTTTTTAATGATTTTTCTAAAAAATCTAATCGGATAACCTAAAAACCAAAGATTAATTAATCAAATAAAATAAAACAACTAATAACAAATAATTAACACTAAATATATTCTAATGAATAAGGATAAAAACCTAATAAAAATTTAAACAACATAAATAAAATAATAAATAAATATAAAATATAAAATGAAATGAGTAACCAAATTTGAATTAATTCGAGTTTGTTCAAATTAGATCTAATTAGATGTTTACGTGTATGACTGTTAATTTTGCAGCTGGAAATGAGCCCGTTTATAATCGACCAATTAAGCCTCTGCCATATCCTAAATTTGCTATAACTCCTTGTGGCAAAGGACAGCCTTATGCAAAGTGCCAACCTAAATCATCTCAAGGCGTCCGCCAAATGGTCGCGACAAGAAAAATCCTCCTGTTGCTGTACCATGAATACGGTGGGAAAGCTGGTGAAATTAAGATATGAAGTTGCAGTACTTGCATGTGATTTATGTTTTGAAGACTAATTGGTTTAGTATATTAAGTGTGTTATTTGTGAAATAAATAGTTCTTAAAAGCTCATTATCATGAGTTCCTTGAGACTTTTAATTTGAACGAATTATAAATTTTATCTTAAATATTACTTCCTGCTATGTAATTTCATCAATCGATAGAGCTTAGTTCGTCCTGTTATGAATTAATATTTATGTAAAGCTCGCTTTTGATACTTGATAATTTATGTTTTTTTTCTTTATTCTTTTATGCCAAACAATTTTGTTTCTTTAATTCACTGGACAAAAATCAAAGTCAATATATTTCATATTCAGTAGAAATATGCCCGCGCATTGTGGTGGGACAACATTTTTTTTGGTTTTATTATCTGTATTTAACATATTTTTTGTAAAATTTATTTAATTAAAAAAAGGAAAGTTTTAGAAAATCAAATGGGAATTACAAGTAAATATCTTAATTAACTTTTTTTCTCATAAAATTTATCTAATAAAAAATTAAAATTAAAAAACAAAATATTTGAAAAAAATGAAAAAGGGAAACGAAAAACTGAAAAAAAACCCTAAAAATACGAAAAATATAGCTTATAAAGAGTGCTATGTTGGCATCCCATATTGAATTTATAAAATTAATTTTTTAAATTAAGATTAAAAATATCTTTATTAATATAATATAATATAATATAATATAATATATACATGTATAAAATCAAATAAATAATAAAATATTTACATTAATATATATTTCAAAATACGTAAAGAGCAAAACACTAAAACATGCTTATGATCCCATATCATTTATTTAAAAAACCTCAAATCATTTAAACTCAATTTTAATTTTAAAAAATCATTTTTCTTGGCTTTAGATGGATCGAAACTCGTTTTGTATAAATTATTTTGGTATTTTTATCAATTAGTACATTTCGTTACAAAATTTATTTAATTAAAAAGAAAAAATGCAAATGGGTAACACATCAACATCGCTAT